TCCCTAATAAAAATGCTCAATTTTCGAAACTAACCGGAAATTAATATTTTATAATTGCTTCAAATGATATGATATTTTAAATTAGAAAATAATCTAGTTTCTCTCTTTCTAATTATTCTTCCTTTATTTCAATTATTGTTAAAAAAACAAGTTATTTGAAAGCTACTCATTTTTATACATTCGTTTTTCATATTTGTCACAAGCTTATAAATTGAACAAATATGTAAAGAATTTTAGCTTTTAATAATTGAAAATGATAAAGGTTCTAAGTTTAAACTTTCAGAGGTTATAATTTTGAGTTTAATTCACCAATTTAGATGATATATTTTTATGTATATTTGAAATCCACGTAGGGGTAGAAAACTAGTTGGACCATTTTCATTTTGGCCCTCAATTTAAATTTCACAATGTTTATTATTTTTATTATTGTTATTATTATTATTTTTTAATTTACATTTTCAACCTTTCTANTGAAATGCCCAATGCCGCTCTTTAAATAACATATGATATAACTCCCACACAGCACAGCTTTTTGCATTATCATCGGTTTCTATCATTTTAATGTGTGCAAGTCCTGCCAAGAAAGGAACCAAACCTGATTTGCATTCATATAACAGAGCATCTGAGGCCGTTGGTCCTGAGATAAAAAGCTTTTCCAATTCCAAGATGACCTCCTCCATCTCATTAGATGCATAAAGATGTTTCATGCACGAGATGATCACCAATGTTTCAGATATTAGTTTTCTGCAGAATCCCTTCACCTTTTCGACTCCAGAAAGCTTGTAGCTACGGAGAAGAGCAAGTAAGAACTTCAACGTTCTCACATCAATATCAGAGGTGCTTAACTTGCTGTGGAACATTATACCATCCAAATTACACAATTGCAAATAGAAACAACAAGAAAATTAGTCACATGATCGGCTGATTTAGTGATAAAAAAAAAAAAAAAAAAAAAAAAAAGGCGCCGGTGTATTCTTATCTTGCAGCAAAAGAAACTCCGGGTACTTAACAGATCGGCGGTGATAGATTAGGAACTACAATTGAGAGATAGACGAATGTCAGGGATGGAACGCCTTCAGAGGATGTTTGCCGGTGCCGGTGGTGCGTTGGGACACCCTCCTCCGGACTCCCCCACCTTAGATTCTTCCGAGCAGGTCTATATCTCCTCGCTCGCGCTCCTCAAGATGCTCAAGCACGGTAATTCATTCTACAATTGCTATTGTTCTTGATTGTTCGGTCTCCAACTCTTAATCTTCTAATTCTCCGCTTGATTTTTGAGCACCATTCATAAGTCTTTATAATTTGCCTCCAATAATTGTCTGAGTTGTAAACCCTAAATTCTGATGGGCGTTTTTGATTATCGAATCTCGTTACTGGTTTATCACAATACCATTTCCATAATTTTATTTGATTTTTTTATGGCGTTTGATGAATCTGTAATCGCGTAGCTGTCTGGTTTAATTTTTAGGAAGAGCTGGGGTTCCCATGGAGGTGATGGGTTTGATGCTGGGAGAGTTTGTTGATGAGTACACGGTTCGTGTTGTTGACGTCTTTGCCATGCCCCAAAGTGGTACTGGTGTTAGTGTCGAAGCCGTCGATCATGTTTTTCAGACCAACATGCTTGATATGCTTAAACAGACTGGGCGGTATTTCATCTCTCACTTTGACCTCTTTAATTGTTATTCTTTTCTTACTTCAGTAACTCGGTTCATCTGATTATAGCTTGTCTGTATATTGTGCATACGTGCTATAATTATTCATTACTAAGAAGGCACGTTCGATTCTGACTCTGTAAATCCTGTATCTTGAACTAGGGAACGGGTCCATCCATGTTTTTGAAAGTTATTCTTTTTTGTGAAGTTCTTTCTTCTTGTTATATTTTTTCAGTTTATACTGTCCTTTGTTGTTCAGATAGCTGAGCTGATTTCTTTGTTCACAGGCCTGAGATGGTCGTGGGTTGGTATCATTCTCATCCAGGTTTTGGATGTTGGCTATCTGGTGTTGATATTAATACACAACAGGTTTGTGTTTTAACTGTATCCCTTATGCATCAATTATGCATCTAAACTTATACACACGATGAATATTGTTGGCTATCTAATATGCGTCACCGTTGTCACAAAGCCCTCATGCTTCACTGTTATTAACGACACTGTTGGCAGCTTTTTGTGATATGTGGTTTCTTAGCTCTGAAATGGTGTATTAATTCAACCAATACAATGATATCAATAGATATTTGTGGAGGGTTGGGCGAGCCACCATTTGTAGTTTTAAGTAGATCAAATATTTTAATTATTAGTATTGAATTATGGAGGTCAAATATTTATAGCATACATTGCTTTGCAGAGTTTTGAGGCTCTGAATCAGAGGGCTGTCGCGGTGGTCGTGGATCCAATCCAGAGTGTTAAGGGGAAGGTGGTGATCGATGCTTTTCGACTAATTAACCCTCAGACTATGATGCTTGGGCAGGAACCACGCCAAACAACTTCCAACCTCGGGCATCTTAATAAGCCATCTATTCAAGTGGGTTATGAGCAACTGAATTACCTTTTAGAGTTTTTCTCAACTATCTCACAGTTCATCTTATTCACACCATCATTGATCACTTCCAGGCGTTAATCCATGGGTTGAACCGACACTATTACTCGATTGCAATAAACTACAGGAAGAATGAGCTTGAGGAGAAGATGTTGCTCAACCTTCACAAGAAGAAATGGACTGATGGTCTGACACTTCGCCGATTCGATACCCATTCGAAAACCAATGAGCAGACCATTCAAGTAAGCAAAGTCCTTTGGACCATGAAAGGTATCTATTCAATATACTGCTAATTGATGTATTTATTGATTTCAGGAAATGCTGAACTTGGCTATCAAGTACAACAAAGCAGTCCAGGAGGAAGATGAGTTGCCCCCTGAGAAGCTCGCAATAGCAAATGTGGGCAGACAAGATGCTAAGAAACACCTTGAAGAACATGTCTCCAACTTGATGTCGTCAAACATCATCCAAACGTTAGGAACAATGCTCGACACGGTAGTATTTTGAAGCTCCACATTGTTATTTCCTGCAACTAAAAGGTGCTCTATTTAAACATCGCCCTATGAGAAGCTACACGTCCATTGCGATCTGATCGGGATGTAAGATCTTTCAATGCTTATTGGTTTTGATCTATTGTAATTCGTATCTCCCTTTTTTTGTTGATGGAGACAGAAATGGTAAACTTTAGAACTTGATTGATGCTGATTTTATTGGGTTTATATGATGATATCTGATTTTATCTTTGAGTTTCTCGTTTTTTAGTTTTGGTTTCTTTAACTTTCCACGTATAACTTGTATTGATTCCTGTTGTTAACGACGGACAGTATCAAATGTGGTCTCTGAACTCTGCATAACTTTAACAAAAATTACAAATTTGGTTCCTGGGAAATATTTATCCTTAGAAATAGAAGACCAGACTCAACGCAGCAGTGAATGGGGCATGTCTCTGTTGAAGAAAGCCCCCAGCCTTCGGATCAAATCCTTAGCCTTCTGACCTTCCAAATCATTCAAATGAAACAAATGATCCTCATCCTCTGATTCCACAATCTCTGCCACCCCCAACCACCCACTGCCCGCCAACGCCTCATAGTAATGCCTTCCTCTGTCTCTCAGCACATCCTTCTCCGCCACACAAACCAGAACCCTCCCACTTCCCATCCCAGCCAGCCTCGCTGCCCCCTCAGCCACTGGATTCACCCATGGATCATCGTTCTCCGGTCTCGCTGGACAAATAAACCCCCACAGCCGTTCAAACAACCTCGTCCTCATTGAATCCTCTGCCTCCTTAGCAGTTCTCGCACTGCCCCAGAAATATGGATGCTCCAAAGCAACCCCAACAAGCTCCATGTTCTCCCCGGAATCAGGTTCGCCGGCCAACATCGCCAGGTTGTGGGCGATGTTGGCACCCGCACTAGCTCCGGCCAGAAACAGTCTTCTAAAATCTGCATGTTTGTTCAACCAAACCTCAGGTCCTTTCCCCTCACAATGTGAAATGGCCCACTGAAGGGCAGCCCATGAATCTTCGTAGGCGGCGGGAATGGGATGCTCAGGTGCCTTCCTATAGTTGACGGAAACCGCCAGGACTTTGGCTTCGGCGGTGAGGGCGTTCAGGTAGTTGTGGTACTTAGCCGTGAATGGGGATTGTGTGCAGAAGCAACCGCCGTGGAAATAGACTACGAGGGGAAGGCGTTGAGTCGAGTGAGTGAGGTTTGGGAGGAAGAGTCTGGCGGAGACGCCGGATTCCGGGAATATTGTTACGTCTTTGGATGTGACGCTGGTGAGAGGGTCGGTCCCCGGTGGAACGAAATCAGTGCCGATGAGGCGCTCAATTCGTCCGTTCTTGTAGACGCGAAGAAGTGGGAGTAACTCGAAGGCTGTTTCTGGTTCGCCGAATTCCATGAAAGAAGGATACCAGGGGCGAGCAAATGGCTTGGTGAGTCCATAGAGGGTCTATTCTTCTGATTTATGGATTGAATTGTGAAGAATGTGTGGGCTTCGTTGGTTTATCTGGTTAGCTCCATTATTTATGGTGAAGAGATAAGTATTCGGAAGATGAAGCCACCAACCATAAGGCTTAAGTTATGCATATATGTTACTGTTGTGGTCTTTTAATTTTAAATAATATATTAATTGCCATTGGTGAATATTAACAAATGTTTCATCATACACAAGGTGTCATAATTAGAATTTTCCTTTTAGAAAAATTAATGATGTGAAGGGTTCAGTTAATTTCTTCAATGTTTAAAGACGATTAAAATTATTTTTTATTAAAAAAAATTAATAAATAAAACTACTTAAAAAGGCTTGAGTTAAGTCATTTTTGCCGTTTTTCAAAATAAAATACTTAAAAAGAAAAAAAAAAACTCCAAATGCCATGATTGGGCCATGGGCCTAAATGGCCCAACAATGTCGGCCCCAAAAACAAATAAAAGAAGAAATGGAGGGTGGCACTCCTCTGAAATTGGATACCAACTCTTTTCTTTTACTACACCCGGTCATCGAACAGCCTCTTGCCTCGAGTTAGCTTTCAATTTTGCCGTTTCGAGGAAAAAACCGGAAGTCTCGGAGAAAATGGTGATTCTCAGATCATTATTGCGTTCTGTTCGCGCCAGATCTTACGTCATCGCCGGCGTCACGCACCGGAATTTACTACAGAGTCACCATCAGGCTGCCCGAAGTTTCTTCTCTCTGTCGTCTCATCGTTCTTCTTTCTCAGATTTTCCGCCGAGAGTTTCTTCTGGTATTCCTCCTAATTAGTAATACTTACAGCTATTTATTATAGATTCAAATCTCTCCTAATTAATTTTGGAAAGAAGCGGAATTTCTGATGAAGTCATTCGCTATTCTTTATTCAACTTAATTAATGCTAGCTATTGATTTTCTCAGTTGGTTGCTGATATGCTTGTGTCTTACTGGTGATTAGTTAAATGTATAGTTCTTCTACCATGAATTGCACATACAGATGTAGTTCTTACAAATCAAAATTTTGCTTGCTTTATTTGTACAGTAAACTGCTATGTTCTTTTCTGCATTAGTATTTATCATCAAGTCTTCATAGTGTTCGCAATTTGTGGTTAGTTTTGTTGAAATGCCGAGTTTCTTTAAGTGCCCCTTATTGTTACTTTAAGCAATGCTTTGTCTTAAAGAATTGTAACAAAATAAATCTCGTATCAGAGAGAAGGAATATCAACTAAAGTTTTAAAACTTCAACATATTCTGTGTAGAAATGTGCACTGTGCAAAGTTTTATTGTTTTAGCTCCCTGCAATGTGAAGTGTCTGAATAACGTTGATAGACTGAATTAAATTATTTTTTCAGTATTATAATGTTTGAAAATAAATCGTATGCCTGTTTCTTCTGGTAAATTTCAGCAGATTGTGGCTATCTATCTGGTGTAGCGCACGCTAGATTTTTTAGTGTTGATGTAGTTAATATGCCTACAATTGGAGATACCAAGCTTCAGAATGCTTTCAAGGATTTGATGGCTGCAAGTTGGGATAACCTTCCCGAGTCTGTTGTCTATGATGTAAAGGCAGCATTATCTGGAAGCACTGAAGACAAGGCTGGAAAGGAAATTGTGGAAAATGTTTTCAGAGCAGCTGAAGCGGCAGAGGATTTTGGTGATATACTTGTCAACTTGAAAATGGAAATTGATGATAGCATTGGTGTCAGTGGCGAGGTATTGGAAATTATATATTTATCAAATTATTTTTTTTTTCCTCTCCAGTTTCTTATCAAGTGAAAACTTCCGAGTCTATCTACAGGATGTTAAGCCTTTGTCTGATGAGCTTAAGAAGGCACTACAAACAGTTTATGATCGCTATACAGCCTACTTGGATGCATTTGGTCCTGAGGAAAACTATCTGCGAAAGAAAGTTGAAACCGAGTTAGGAACTAAGATGATATACTTGAAAATGAGATGCAGTGGCCTTGGATCCGAGTGGGGAAAGGTAAAAAGCTTCTCGCTATATAGTTTGTTAATTGCTATTTTCAAATAAATAAGTTGGTGAAACGAGTATTGACCATTAAACAATTTTTGTTAACCATAGCTTCTATCTTATTTTACGACAGGTTTCTGTGCTGGGAACCTCTGGTCTATCAGGGTCATATGTCGAGCAAAGGGCATAAATTTGGCTTCTTTGAAAGTCTGGCTGTAGTTTGCTAGCCTACTCTAGTTTGGGTGTTTGTTTTTCAATGTTTTATTGTCTGTCTTCTCTCAAATCCAATAAATTGTGGATTTAATGGCAATTGAATAAGATCTCACATTGACAAATGAGTTCTCGGAATTTAACTTCCTTGCATGTTTGCCAATTATTGGGTTCCTTTTACAAGTTTATATCATCAGTTTCATGTTTTTGCATTATGTGTTCTTGAAGAGTTCTGTGATCTACAGAGGGGGCAACCTTAACTATGATTATTGCTACTGCAACTGCATATTAGCGGCAATTAATTTAAGAGGGTTAATACATATGTTTATGAGGTGAGGAAGAGTTGAAAATTGTTCTTAATCAGATCAATAGCTTGAAGAATTTTGTTACTAAGAGGAGCCACGTTTTACTCTTCAACCTCAACGTTACTTCTGGCAGCAGCAAAATACAAAAAAACAGAACTTAGCACCGAATTTGGACATCATATCTTTACAATTTTGGTGCCTTTAATCCATAACCAAGATTCAGATGGCGACTTGGGCAGAGGTGGAAGTAACACCGCTTTCCTGCAAAGACCAAACGGCCATCCTTCACAATGAAACAATTCCTGTAAGATGGTGCGCCTCTTGAGATCTTCATCCAGAAAATTAAGACCATTTAAGCTCGAACATCGGGAAAAGTTGGCCTCTACGGAAAAGAATGCTTCCTTTGTTGCAGCACTTGAACATGTGAGAAAACTCTGAACTGAGTAGAACTCATCTCCTGTGTTATCTTCATTTCCAGGTTCATCTATCTTCTCAATCTCCATTGAAGTAATATATAATTCTTTGGTTGCAGGTGAGAAAACCCAGGAAAAGCTGTCTGACAGGTTAGTCTTTCGTCTCAACTTTTCCATTGCCCGACTTCTGATTTCCGATACAATTTCCTGAGAAATGGATATAAAACTTAGAGAAACAGATTTCGTGTAAGGTGAAAGAGTAAACAAAAGGTTATATATCTGTTGATATGCGAGGATAAGTTGGTGAGTACTTCCTCTTCATCATCAAAGTCACTCGTTGGATAATCATCCTCTGCGTTGGAATTTGGCTGTGGTTTGCTAAAATTATGGCAGTTGCAGAGTACATCCTTCAAAGCACCTGCTAGAAAGCATTTCCTTGAAGGATTTGGTGGGTCTTCTTGATAAAAGACGCCCATATTGGAGAAGCAAGATTTTTTGGTTGGTTTATGAGCCAGAAACTATATAAAGAATTAATGCCCCCTTACTGAGGGTTCAAAATGGCTCCATTTTTGACAGTGCCTTCACAGCTTATTGAAAATAACGTTTTCTAATCCTTCGGTGTAAAGACAAAGTTAGAAGAGAGCACAAGACACTCCAACGAATGATGTTGAACTGCACTAAAGATTCCAGCACAAAGCTCACACTGTATTCTCATTCTTCCATTACTTTGAAAATTAATTGGCATGCTGTATGCTAATCTAACACCTACTTTCGTAGGCGCTTGGATTCTCTCTTAATGCTCAAGATTTGGGCGAATTGAGACATTTAACCAACCAATATCTCCTACTTTTGACAACCTGGTCGGGGGGCGGCACTTCCACTATTAAAGCTCATGGGAGGAGAAGAGTACGAAAAACAAACAGCCGATTTAAAAGTTTGGTATCAATCTGGTATGCTGTCCATATACAAAGTTTGCTCATTTTAAATGAAGAAGTTGATCAGTCTACTCTTTTTTTCCCCTAAAATGTGCTACTTCGTATCATAAGGCTCGTTTTAAATCAGTTCGACTTGATATCTTTCTTCTTTTAATTAAAATTTTTTCCAAATCGAACTGATTAGATCTTTTCCTGAATTGGGTCTGCTCTTCTACCATTTGGTTGGAAATGGTGTTAGTGGTGGGTGGTGTGCATTAAAGGTGAGACTCACTTTTCAGAAATTTAATTTGAGAACGCTTCGTGCTGTCCATTTGCACTGTAATCATAACCTGACTTTTCTCGGTTTGTGACTTAGGAAGTGGATAGCAACGTCCTCCCTTCATTGAAGTGCTTATTGGCTGATTTATTATACCAGTTATGTTTATTGATGCCGATCATATCCGTGTTTCCACGGTGTCGCCATCGACCTTCAAGAGAGGAGGAATTACAGGGTCGTTATTTGACTTTTTAACATTGATTGCTAGCCATCCAATTTGACTTGTTCACCATCGTGCTTGTTATGCGAGGCAAAGCATCTTCATCCGGCTGCTTAAAGGCAAAGATGCTGCTGCTGATAATATATTCCTACAAGATGGGATAGAGACGCCTCATCTTAAGTAAGTTGAGAATGTTATTAGGTTATTCTTAAAATATTTCTTCCCTTTTCACGTTTAGTTGGGTACAAAAGCATTTGATCTGGTTAAATTATGTCTTAATTATTGAGAAAAATCATGCTGGGTCCCATTTTAATTTGTTGAGTGATATGCTATGAAATATTGATGCCGATTGATATTTTTCTAAAAATGATTAAATTAGTGTTTAAATTAACAAATAAACATTTTATCCTTTGCAAATAAGTTAAAATGCTTGCTATTAATAGTATATTGGTATAGTAATGTTTTTCTTCTTTATGTTTTATCTTTTTCTATGTTAAAGTTATGAACATATAGAAATATTAATACCTCAATCAAAATTTAACAAGGTAATAACCTAGGGACGACTGAGTGAAGGTTTCCCCGTCTAAAGAGCTATAAAATTACTTCCAAAATTAAATGATCACAAGGTTAAAATTACAAAGGACCCTTGAATGGATTGAACACTACCACTAGTATACCACTACCACTATTACAGAAAGAACCAAAACAACCTTTGTCTTTGAAGTTCCTCTAATTTGGTGCTGAAGGAAACCTGAAGCCTCATATTCTGTAGAATCTAGAACTCACCTTTAAGACACCAACGTCCCAAGGCATCCTTTAGCCAATCCTTTACCCATGTGGGCAAGCCAACAAAAAGAAAGATCACCACCAGAGGCAGAGGGGCAGTGGATTCAACCCCCTCGATGCTAAAATAGGCGAGTAAACATTCACATTCGAGTCCAGCAAGCTCTCTCAAACATTGAAATCATTCAAGAAAGAAACGCCAAGGATCTTAAAAGAAATCAATGTGATTTCAATCATTCAAAACACTTGAATTCGAATCAATAAGTAAACGAACTTCCAAAGAGCAAGAACCACAAGGCAAAACAACGGAAGCAGGCAACACATCCAGAGTCCTTAAAGAAACCTTTCTCCCATTCCTCAACAATGGATATCCCATTTCATCCAACTCCCCCGAATCAATAAAGAAGTAATCTCCACAACGGCACTGATAAAAGAGTTCTACAACTTCACCTTTATCTTCCACAGCCATATCCTCCAACCTTATGCTCTCTGCACCAATTGCATCCCCTTTGGCAGCTTGGAGCTCTCTGTCATAAGCTGCACGGGACATTGAGCTGCTGAGGACTTCCCAAGCCTTCTGCACCTTCAAGTATCTTTCTCCCGCAATGTCGTCTAAATGAGATTTATGGCACATAGCTTGTAACTTATCAGGGTGGAAATTAAGGAGAGCGGAACGATAGCTGGCTCTAATTTCATCGTAGCTAGCATCTTCCCTCAAAGACAGTACATCATAATAAGTTTCACCGATGGAGCCACTGCTTGAACTCATTGTGGGTTGGCTTCAATTTTCCAGCCACCTTGAGAAATATTCAAGGGAAATTATTAGCAAAACCACAGTGCTGGTGCCTGTTAAAAAGAGGTAAACTGTAAGGATGCTGGGACTATCAATGGCGAGCTTAACGAAAAAGCTGATATAAAATTCTTAGAACAATTGAAATAGCTACCAAAATCCCAGAAATATGTGATATTAAGGTACGGTGGGGAAGTTTTCTCTTAGTTTGTTCTCACAGAGAGCTTACTTCTCTTAACGTTCTATAGAAAACATCACCGGCTGTCAACGATTTCGAAATTCATAAATTTCGATCTTTACAAACCACAGGGCCGAGTTCTTGAAAACAAACCACTAAGCAGCCCCTAAGTCGTTAAAGTTTATATTCTCATACAGAATTGGATATCCAACTCAAGCTTCTCCGATTACATAAAACCCATTATTTAGCACATTCAAGAAGCTCGGTTTTATGGATTTTGGCTAAACCAATAACCAAACCAATAATTATGATTGCAAGAAATGAACAACCAAGCTAATTTCCATAGTCCATGATTAGGCAGAATCAATTCTCGATCGAACCGATCGTTTCATCCGTTTAAGCGTTCAGACGTTCATCCATTGTAAGGAAAGAAACTCGAAAGACAAATATGCGATTTAGATAAAATACCGGAGAGCAACAGAGGGTAGAAGATCAGTGAAGAAGGGGGTGCGGCAGCGGCGCTGAGAGCAATGGTGGAAGCCGCGGCGGATGGTGCGACGGAACAGGGAGCAGTCGTGAAGGTAGATTTGAACAGGGAGCAGTCGGCGGATGGCGCAACGGGAGAGGCATAAAGCCGGATGGATTGTGAATTATTTGATTTAATTAATTTATTTGTTTAAATCAAGCAAATTTGGGCGGTTGGATTGGGTTAGTGCGCTGCTGGAGGGTGGGCTTTACGCCGTAGATTAGCTACAGGGTTAATTCACGGATGATTGTTTAAAGTTATCAGCCCATAGTAACATTTAAGTTCAAAAGTATATATCGTACAAAATGGAATTCTAAAAATGTCGAAGCACATGAAGCTGACTAGTCTAATGAAAAAGCAAAACACCATTTGATTTGCTATCCCAATTGACTTAAAAATAATATCAAATAAATAAGAAACCTGACATTCTTGCAAAATTTGAGAGAAAAAAAAAAAACTTTTAGTGCCGATTCCAAAGATATTTGAGTAAGGACTACACTCACTCCTCGCTCATACGGTAACATGCTCATTCCAAAGGTACTCATGTAAGGACTATACTCACTCAAACAGTAACAGCCCAAACCCATCGCTAACATATATTATTTGCATTAGACTCATGTAAGGACTATACTCATTCAAACAGTAACAGCCCAAACCCATCGCTAACATATATTATTTGCATTAGTCCGTTACGTATCGTCATCAACCTCACAATTTTAAAATACGCCTACTAATTAGAGATTTCCATACCCTTCTTTCGTCCCTCTCTCCAACCAATATGAGATCTTACCTCTATTTATTTAAAAGATCCCTAAACCAAATTCACCATATGTAATAAGGACGGAACTAAACAGGTGAGAGATATTCACATTTTTTTAAAGAAAAGTGAAGCAGTTGGTTATTATCAGCAAGAGAGAGGCAGAGAAAGAGGTAAGCTCACTCAGAAACTGACATCCTGAGCGTAATGAATAAATTTCAAAAGTTAATAGTCAACAAAATAGCCTTTCTTTTTCACGTTACTTCTAAGTTCTATCTCATCTCGGCGCCAGACTTGTCAATCGGAAGTCATGGGCACCAGGATCGCCAATCCCTGTTACATCTTACATAAGAGTAAGAAGATATGACTCAAACAGACACTCATTCAAATGCTAGTCCCCTAAACACCTAACAACCCTCAAAATTTTCATTCGTGGCAACTCTATGGACAATGATGCTCAAATGTAAGAAAGACAAGTGAAGTCATAACCATTTTAGCGCAAATCGCTTGCCTGATTCGTTGTACAATTAAACACTAACAACACCAGAGACCCAAGGGACAACCAGCGGCGCAGTCGGGTGTGAGTTCCTATAAGATTGCGGATAGTTGGTCTTGAAATTCAGTTTGGGATTTTCTGCCTGCATTTGGATTTGAAGAAGATGAGACAAGTTAGATTCAAGAAAGCATATACAAAAGAGATTTACAACTACAAAAGCAGTCTGGGGGTTACATATTTCAGCCAGCACTCCATATGTTTATGCTCGTAAATATCAGGTGAGTGGCATCCAAACTCAGATGGACAGTAAACCCAGATGTTGCATTTCCTGTCACCTGGCCGCGCACGTTTCGCATGATCCAAGCAAGCTTGACAGCAATCAGCTGCACTTTCTTTATGATGAGTTAGACCCCATCTTACCGCAGCACCATCGTAATCCGTATGGAGCTCAGCATGACATTCAGGTGGAACTGGTCTACCGGGTAGAATTTCATCATCTGCATAGAGAGGGGGAATGAACACCATAGTGAAATATAAACTAAGATTGGATCATCATATGGTTCACAGAATGTTACTCATAGAGTTGCAAAAGTATACCAAATTCATCTACGCCCTCAGGCTTATCATCATGTTCCTTGTTGAAGATCTCTGCAGGTATCCAAAGACCAATTGATTCAGACAGCGCTGTCCAATCATTCTCCAAGGCTTTGACTAGAATCCCTACCAGAAGAGGAAGAACAAAAGTAAATATGATAAACTATCAGCGCCAAACCAATGAGGTTTTCAGGTCCCAGTCTCACTGATATAAAGATTCCATACCAGCGTCTTCAAAAGAAAGAGTTGAATTTTCAATCATTTGTTCTGTGATCAACTTCTTTGCTTCTTCCAATTTTTCCTTTCTCCAGCTTTCTACTGCTTCTGATCATATAAGAATTGAAAGATTGTAACAAGAAATATCATGCACAACATTAAGAATCTTCAACTTTGAACGTTCTACCAAAATTTCCACAAGATAGCAGATAACTGATGCAGCATAAATTGCAGATATGAGTCACCCTACAATTTTAGTAATTCATAGGCTGGAAGTTTAAGGGAATTCATTTATCAATTTCGAGGAGGTTTCTGATGAAGTACGCGGAGCTCATTTCTCTGGTTCCTTTTTCGCGCTCCAGAATTTCTAAGAAACTTTTTGTAGTCACTCTATATTTATGATTGAGGGTCAACTGGAGAGCTCTTGAAGTTGAGAAAATATAAAAGCTTACTTGAACAAGATTTGTTCTACATGTCGTACAACTTCGTTGTTTGAGTTCCAAAAGAAGGTTAAGAAAGCATAGATTTCTTTGAGGAGGCAGTAAAGAAGTGAAATGGAATAGAGCAAAATCATGACATTAGTAATCTAATGGCTGGTCTGAACGAAGTTGGTCTTATGCAGCATCTACGACGCTCTAGAGAAATTTAGAGTGTGCCACATTACATGTCATGTCAAGCAGCAATGATGTCATTGTGACTATAATGGATCTAGTATTCACAGCCCAAGCCCACCTCTAGAAGATATTATCCTCTTTGAGTTTTTCCTTTCGGGGTTCATCTCAAGGTTTTAAAATGCGTCTGTTAGGGAGAGATTTCTACACTCTTAATAAAGAATGTTTCGTTCCCCTTTTCAACCGACGTGGGATCTAACAATCTATCCCCTTGAGGGCCCAGCATCCTCGCTGGCACACCACACGGTGCCTAACTCTGATACCATTTGTAATCAGCCCAACCCCACCGCTAGCAGATATTGTCCTCTTTGGGCTTCTCCTCAAGGTTTTAAAATGAGTCCGTTAGGGAGAGATTTCCACACCCTTATAAGGAATGCTTCGTTCTCCTCTCCAACCAAAACATTCCTTATAAGAGTGTGGAAACCTCTCCCGGTAGAAGTGTTTTAAGACCGTGAGGCTAACGGCGATATGTAACAAACCAAAGTAGACAATATCTGTTAGCAGTGGGCTTGATATGTTATAAGTATATTCAATTCAACAAGTAACCAATGTTAAATCAATGGCAACTCTATGCCAAATGGAATTGTAAACAAATTTCTAGCGAAGTAGTTTTCTACATATTCAATCCCAGGAATATAATCCTAGGACTTTAGATATCAAGACACAGTTATATAAGAAACGATAACTTAATGATTTCCATGTCTCTCTGAAGCAATGCAGCCGGTAATAGCCTCTTTGGTTCCGACTATAGTCACACAGTCAAGCCACCTGAAAAAATAAATTGCATATCCTAGCTCTAAACCCGGTACGAGAGAATGAAACAGAAACACGTGCCTAAAACCTGATAACCACGATACCGACTGCCTACTTGCAAAGCTTAGTTATCAGGACATCAATATCAAACTTCGTTTGTGAAAAATTGAATTACAATTATCCATTAACATTGAAATCTAAGGAAAAGATTAACGGATACAAATGCTTAAAATAATTCCTAAGAGCAATGAAAATCCTTGGAAACAGAAACCAAATAAAGATATGAAAAAGTGATGAGTATAGCAAGGAAATCATGGGATTGTACTGACCTCTCTGCTGAGTATTGTTTGAGCTAGCATTCGAGCTTCTCAACTTCAGAAGAATTTCCTCGGTAATCTTCTGTTTCAATGGATGAGGCAATTCATCCACCGTCTCTTCCTGGGAGAATTCTTTAAGCTCCTTCACCTTCACACCAAAACAAATTCAAATGTGCTTAAACCATAAATCGTTCCCATCAAACAGATCTGTTTCAAACCAAGTATGAGTCTTACCAATTTAATGAGCTCTACCGGCTCAGAGGCCCTACGAATCCGAATAAACTCTTCCATTTTCCTAATCTGATCCGGAGTGTACTTCACAACTAGCTCCGAAGGAAGAATATTAAACAGGAATTGTTAATAATCTACACATCGAACACGAATCAAGAACACAAAAAGAAATGCAAGTAGCTCAGACACTAACCATTTTGTGAATCGTTATCGGTATAGAGGTAGAGGGAAGCATATAGAGATCGAAAAACATAGAGGGCGACGATAATGTTGATAGAGCAAATGATGAGAGTGGTTTTCTTGTAGGAACACGCCCATTTACCTCTTCCTTGATAGCCCCACTCTACCCTGGCCATATCCCCTTCTTCTTCACCCTCATCCCACCACCATATCTCCTCTCTCAATATATTAATACCTCGCACCAGAAACAAAATAGAAAATCGATGCAAAATTTCAACACCGCTCCGCTCCAATCTTTCTTACCCTCGAAGCAGATCGATCCGTCCGACGGGTCTTCACGCCAAATCCGTAAAGTCCTTTTCTCAGAAAACAGTAACAAGCGGAGTCGATTCCTTCCTTTTCTCTAATCGCTCTGACAATTATATTTGTTTTCCTGATAACACCCAGCTAACCAATGCAATTATTGAATCCGGTCAAGATTTTCCGCGCTATTGTGCGCCGTATCTAGCTGCCGCTTTGCCGCCTGCAGGCGATTTGAACAGGGCAATCGGACTGAGAGCCCGGCCGCGTCTAGCGGTTCCGAAGCTGGCGGAGGAGCTAACGTGCACTGGAGGCTATGTAAGCTATCTGACACATTTTGCCGTCCGTCGCCGACAACTCACTAAAGTGCGCTGGAACATCAAAGCTCTTTCCTTTTGTCGATGGTTAGATGCTAACCGACTGTGTACTGTTCTATTTTTGGGCATAAAAACAGAGAGGAATTTAATTATGATGTCGCTTTCTTAAGACTTGATTGAAAATGATTATCTACTAAATTGCGCTTTGTTAAAAACGACGCAGTTTTCGTTCTTTATTGGGAGACTTATTTATGCACGGAACCGAAGCTTTTTACTTCCCCTTATTACCAAACTTGCCCTTTTGTAGTATTTTCAGACTGTTTTTTTAATATATATTTTAAAATCTAATCAGAGTTTTATTTTTATTTATTTATTTTACATTCATGTCTGTTTATATTAATAATCAAATACCAACTCAAACCGTCCGCATAAATTATAATTATGTATTAACTGATCACTCTGCTTTTAATTTTTTGTTAATACATTTCTGCTATATTTGATATTTTAAAAAAAATTAATGATTTTCTTATTAATAGACCATAAAATTTTTAATTTTATATTTTAATAAATTCAATAGTTAAAAAAGGTTAAATATGTTAAGACGTTTAAGTTTAGAAGAGATATAATGGAAAGCCACTAAACTTATAATTTAATCATTAATCTAACATCACTTGAAAGAGATTTTAAATACTAAAATAATTAATAAATGTAGTCATTCATGTAGTGATGTAGATTTTTTTTTTTTTTTTTTTTTTTAAC